TAACACCATGTGTAGTGGCTTGAGTTCAGTGATAATTGATATATTTATGAGTGAAAATATAAAACATATTTGAAAACTAAAACCAGACTCAGCAACATGAAATGCTCATGTAAAGAGGATGGTACTAGACTATTTGAAGCAACAGCAGATTTGTCTCTGCCTCATATTCTGTAGCATGTTGATTAATTGATGCCTAAAATTATTTTTTCCTTTAGCAGAGAAGAGTTTGTATTTAAGTGAAATATGTGTGATTCTATTACATTTTTCTTTAATATAAGCACTCTTTAGTTCTAAATTTTACTTCTTTTTAAAAATGATTTTTGATTGATAAATGACCAAAATAAAAGATAAAACCATTTTCTGTTAGAGTTCTCATTACTGATTTCATTTCCAGGGACTGAATGATTGATGATTAAAATAAACTTTTTTTTTTTTTCTGTTGGGGGAAGGTTAGAGATGGAGTCTCCCTTTGTTGCCCAGGCTAGTCTCAAACTCCTGGGCTCCAGGTGATTTTCCCACCTTGGCCTCCCAGAGTGTTGGGATTGTGTGTGCACTTGGACTAAAACTCTTGATGATTACTCTCTGAGTTCTAGGTGCTACGAGAGCCTATTCTTTGGTGTCTGGAAGGATGCTGGGACAAAATGACTCTAAGACCCTATGGGGACCATATACAGATAATCCTGAGTGGAGTCATGGCAGAATCCCTCTGAATAGTATACTGGAGGGTTTACGTCTGAACTGTTGTTACCTCGGCCTTAATTGTAGTCAGCCATTCTAATATTGGAAATGTAGAGTTTTTTCAACAGATTAGTTGAATAAACCAATATTAAACTAGGAACCCGGTTGCAAAGATTTTCTTATATTAATGTACAATTATACAATAGGAGATAGAAAATACAGGCATAGTAACTTCTAAAACAGTGAAGTGAGGAAAGTGAGTATTTTATGGCTTATTCTGTGGTAGCACTGGGTAATAGAAATATATGTGAACCACATGTCATTTTAAATTTCCTAATGCCACATTAAAATAAAAAAACAGGTGAAAATAATTATCTTTGGTTTTACCTAATATATTATTATTTCAGCTTTATCAATTTACAAAATCAGTAAATTGTACTTTTTGATGCTAAATCTTACAGATATGGTGTGTATTTGAGACTTATAACATTTCTCGATTCAGACTAGCCACGTTTCAAACGCTCGGAAGTTACATGTATCTAATGGATATATGTATTGGATGGTACAAAACTAACCCATCAGGGTAAATAAACACTCTCAATTCAAGTATCAAGCAATTTTGAGTATCAGGTTTTACGTATTTATTTTTTACTTTTTTTTTTTTTTAAATTGTGACTGAGTCTCACTCTGTTGCCCAGGCTGGAGTGCAGTGGCACGATCTTGGCTCGCTACTCTGCGTCCCAGGCTGAAGTGATTCTTGTGCCTCAGCTTCCTGAGTATCTGGGTTATAGGCTTGCGCCACCGTGCCCATCCCAGCTAATTTATTTTTTTTTTTTTGAGACAGAGTCTCACTCTTTTACCCAGGCTGGAGTGCAGTGGCATGATCTCAGCTCACTGCAGCCTCCCCGGCTAATTTTTGTATTTTTATTAGAGATGGGATTTCACCATGTTGACCAGACTGGTCTTGAACTCCTGGCCTCAAGTGATCCACCCACCTCAACCTCCCAAAGTACTGGGATTACAGGCGTGAGCCACTGTGCTCGGCTCAGGCTTTAAATTAAAAGTTAAATTGATCATTACAGAAATGCAGTTGAAAACCACAAAAAACCAACACCGCATGTTCTCACTCATAGGTAGGAACTGAACAATGAGATCACTTGGACTCGGGAAGGGGAACATCACACACTGGGGCCTATCATGGGGAGGGGGGATGGGGGAGGGATTGCATTCCTGATGTAAATGACGAGTTGATGGGTGCTGACGAGTTGATGGGTGCAGCACACCAACATGGCACAAGTATACATATGTAACAAACCTGCACGTTATGCACATGTACCCTAGAACTTAAAGTATAATAATAAAAAAATAAAAATAAAAAAAAAGAAAACCACAAGATACCACTTCACACTCACTAGGATGATTTTAATAAAAAAATGAAAATAGTGTTGGCGAGAATGTGGAGCTGGTGATCATACAACATCGTGAATACACTAAATTCCACTGAATTGTACACTTTCAAATGGTTAATTTTATGTAATGTGAATTTCACTTGGATGACTAATATTAATTTAAATGAAATAAAGTTAAAAATTCATTTACTCAGTAACAGTAACAATATTTAAAGTGTTGAGTAGCAGATATTTGGCTAGTGGTTCGTAGGGTTGCAGTGACCTTGGCAGTGGACCATGTAGTTCTGTGGCAACGTTGGTATTCCACAGAAGAGATGGCGACTCTAAAAAGCGTTATTATTTCTTGGTACTCAAAATATGTGTGGTAAAATTTTAAATTTTATATATAGAAATCATTAAATGCTGACTTCTCATGGTCAGAATCCGTAGGTGAAAATTCTTGTTGCAGCCTATTTGAGGACCATGCCTTTCATCAGGTTGTTGTATGAATTAAATACTAATTTCAGAGCAATGAATATGGCTAATTGCCTCTATTCAGGGTTTCCCATAGCCCTGTGCTTTAATTAGGCCTTACTGTACTCCTTTGAAGTTACTGCTTTATATGTATGTTTTGCTGAACATATAGAAGCTCCTTTAGTATAGTAACTATATCGTACTCATCCTTATACTTCTAGCATATTGTGTAATACTGGACGTAGATAAGTATTTGAACTAAAGTCTTGAATCATTTCTACCTCTTTTTTAACTTAGTATGCACCATAGAGTAAGTAAACATTTTTCATAGAGATGCTGAGGGCCTTAAGGAGCCCGCAGAATATATTTTGTATGTCAAAATAAAGAGAGTAATTATTAATGGATACCATTTAAGAAGAATGATTTTTTTTTATCAGCATCAGTAAACATATAGCTGTTTAGTTCTGCTAATATACTTAGTAATATCTATGATTTGCAAGATGCTTCTGGAAATATAAATATTCATAAATATACATCTCTGTGTTCAAAATGGAAAGTGTGAGTTGGGATAAGCATATAGATATGCAGTTAAGTGTGAGGGCAGCCTCAAGGGAGAATTAGCCCTTGTCCGTTTGGGGCAGATTTAGAGAGACTTTATGAGGAAAGTTACAATTTTTACAAATAAAGGGCTGTGTTGTGATTTTAGCAGCTTACAATTGGTAGAGGTACCTCAATTAAAGGAAAGAGCCTGAGGCATCCGATTTTTTTTAATGCTGTTATCTACATGAACTCTTACAAGATAAACCGCCTGGGTATAACATGATGAATATATTTGTTTTTTAACATGACAAATTTATATGCTTAGAGTTTGGTAAGTCAGAAACTAAGTAAATTGGTTAAATGACTAATAGAAAAGTCGTCATCCATCCATCTGTGGACGTTTCTGTTTTGTTTTGTTTTAATTACCCGGATTCATTTGTTAGAAGACCTGCAAATTTTTTTCCCCCAAGATATAATTAGAAATCACACACTTACACCGTGGTTAATTTGTATATATTAATTCTGGTGCTACGTGAACATTTTGCATTCTTTGGCAAAATAGCACATCTGTCAGGTGACTCGGGTAGTTAACCTTTTGATTTCTTAATATTGCAAGTACAGAAGGCTAAAGAGGCAGTATTTGAAGGATATTGTAGAGCGCTGCATATGACCAACACTGAGCATGTCTTTTCTAAGAGAAAGGCTGGATCTAATTGTTTAACAAATTAATTTTATTTATTTTAAAAATACTAAATGTAGTCCGTATGGGTTTTCATCTGAAGCTTAAGAAATTTGTAAGAAAGTAATTTACAAAGACAAGGCAGATGTGGTGGAGCACACCTCCTAGCTCTGTGGGAGGCCGAGGCAAGTGGATGGTTTGAGCCCAGGAGTTCAGGACCAGCTTACCCAACATAGTGAAACCCCCTCTTTACAAAAAATGCAACAACAACAAAATATTAGTTGAGCGTGGTGGCATGTGCCAATATTACCGCAACCTGGAAGGCTGAGGTGGGAGGATTGCTTGAGCCTGGGAGGTCGAGGCTGCAGTGAGCCGAGATCATGCCACTGCACTTCAGCCTGGGTGACAGACTGAGACCCTGTCTCCAAAAAAAAAGAAAAAATACATTAAAAAGTCAATATTGAACTTTTCTGTCGCCTGTTTTAATAGTGTATAACGCTAGGAAGTCGACTGAAGGTTTTGAAGTAACACGTATCATAAGAAAAATACTTCAGAAATCCAGGAATCCAGCTTGGCATGGTGGCTCACACCTGTAATCCCAGCACTTTGGGAGGCCGAGGCAGACAGATCACATGAGACTGGGAGTTTGAGACCAGCCTGGCCAATGTGGCGAAACCATATCTCTACTGAAAATACAAAAATTAGTCAGGCATGGTAGCACACACCTGTAATCCTAGCTACACAGGAGGCTGAGGCACAAGAATCACTTGAACCCAGGAGGCAGAGGTTGCAGTGAGCGGAGATCGCACCACTGCACCCCAGCCTGGGCAACAGCAAGACTGCATCTCAAAAAAATAAAAATAAAATTCAGGAATCCAGTCATTGTCAGGATATCTAATACTTTGTTGCAAAAACAGCTTAGTGCTCCTGCTATAAAAATGATTAATTCAAAACCAGATTTTTCTGGGAAGAAGATCCCACTATTTTTGTATTGCATATAGTGGAAATAGCAGTAAACTGGGAGGTCGTGAAACTTGTTGCATTTTCAAGCTTTGTCTAATGTATGTCATCTTACTTGGCAACTTCATAAAGTGAAAAGACTACTAGTCCCTTATGCTTCCTTTCTGGAATTAGTTCTATTGTACTACTTATTTACTTCTGAAAATACTAGATACTCATTTAGATTTTTCTCATGCCCTACACAGTATGCCTGACATTATTTCTGTTTTATATTCTTTTAGTGTGTTGTTGGTGGCTGCAATGCCAGCTTTGCTTCTCAGGGAGGGCTAGCTCGTCATGTACCCACACACTTCAGTCAGCAGAACTCCTCAAAAGTTTCGAGCCAGCCAAAGGCCAAAGAAGAATCTCCTTCTAAAGCTGGAATGAACAAAAGGAGGAAATTAAAGAACAAAAGACGACGCTCATTACGTAAGTGTTACATTAAGAAAATCTGATGTATTTGATGGTTTTAAAAGATATCTTGGGCTTTTGTGCAAATCCACTTGGAACTTCAACTCCTCTTCTATTAAAAAGTAATAAACTCCTCTTCTATTAAAAGTAATAAACAGGATGCCCATCTGTCAGTGTGAGGGAGAATTCAGTGGCACATGTTTATAGTAGCTAACGGAGTATATGTGGCCTTCAAATATAAACTGTATAGAATTAGATTTGGGGGCTTCTCTGATTCTCTTCTAAAATAACATTTAAAATATGGTAACATTGGTATTTCTAGAAATATTTTAGAAAATTTGAACATGTTAAAAGTAAATATCAAGTAAAAGTTAAGTAACCTATCTACTCCAAAGTAGTGTGCGTACCTGAGCTATGAGGTAGAGGCTGCAGTGAGCCGTGATCACGCCACCACACTTGAACCTGGGAGACAGAGTGAGACCCTGTCTCAAAAAACCAACAACACAAAAACCACAACAAAGCAATGTGTGTGGATAACAAAGCAGTATTTTTTTTTTTTTTTTTCCTGAGATGGAGTCTCATTCTGTCATCAGGCTAGAGTGCAGTGGTGTGAGACAGGGTTTCACTATGTTGGACAGCCTGGTCTCAAACTCCTGATCTCAGGTGATTACCTGTCTTGGCCTCCCAAAATGCTGGGATTACAGGCGTGAGCCACCGCACCCAGCCCATAGCAAAACAATTTGAATGTAATGTGTGTCATAGTACCTAGTCTGTTGTAACATATATGTACAATGTTTATGTGCTTATTTGCCAAAATGTGTCCTTGATGTTTAGGATAGAAAATAATTAGATGTTAAGGCTTGTAAATGCTGGGAGCAGGAACAGACTTTGAAACCTCGGAGTGTAGCTGGTCACTGCTTCTTTGCGTCAGCTGGTTAGTTTGTGGCCTTTTTTTGGATGGAGTCTCGCACTGTCGCCCATGCTGGAGTGCAGTGGTGTGATCTCGGCTCTCTGCAACCTCTGCCTCCCGGGTTCAAGGAATTCTCTGTCTCAGCCTTCAGAGCAGCTGGGATTACAGGCACCCGCCACCACGCCCGGCTAATTATTGTATTTTTAGTAGAGGCGGGGTTTCACCATGTTGGCCAGGCTGGTCTTGAACCCCTGACCTTGTGATCCACCCGCTTTGGCCTCCCAAAGTGCTGGGATTACAGGTGTGAGCCACTGTGCTCGACCAGCTGGTTAATTTTAACTATATATCCTCAATGAAGAACTACCAATGGGTGAATGAGTGAATGAAGCTGTCATTGAAAGGAAGTCCACTCCAAGGATGAATTAGAAAGAAAAAAATAGATTGTACTTTACCCTTTCTCTGGGGGTTGATTAGTATAGACAAGACTCCAGACACTAATTCCTGACTGTGAAATTAGTCTGTAAAATACTGAAAATCTTTTTGTTACTATAGAATTATAGTGGACAAATGAACAGACCAGAAAACTGTTTTTTTTTTTTTTTCCTACCTCATTAACTGAGAAAAGCAAACTTTCCTAAAACTCTTAGTTTCATTCTTGCTTTTTTTTTTTTTTTTTTGGATGCAGGATCTTACTCTTGCCCAGGCTGGAGTGCAGTAGTAAGATCATGGCTTACTGCAGCTTCAGACTCCTGGGCTCAAGCAGTTCTCCCACCTCAGCCTTCAAGTACCTGGGACTACAGGCCTGAGACACCATACCTGGCTAGTTTTTATATTTTGAAGGGATAGGGATCTCTCTGTGTTCTCCAGGCTGGTCTTGAACTCCTGGGCTCAAGTGATCTTCCCACTTCAACCTCCCAAAGTGCTAGGATTACAGGCATGAGCCACCACACCTGGCCTTAAGTTTCTTTTTTGTTTAAGTAATCATGTTTATTTTTAATCAATGTTGGCTATTTATGATACCATTTTCATTTTGACCTCCTTTATAAAAACAGAAATTTAACATTGTAATTTTACTTATGTTAATATCGAGTATCTTGCAGTTGCACACAGAAAATTGCTAAATATATATTATGGTACTCAAAAACCAGATAACTTCTCCACCAGTTTCACCTAACCTCATTATTATTTTAGTCTCAGTGTACACACAGTAATCATTTAAATTTTCTGACTTTTCACATTATATACTTGGCAATATCTATGCAATTTGCTACGCTTTGTCTTGTAAAGAGAAGACAGATTCAGTTAAATACCCAGTTCTTGCTTAGAAACAAAGTACTAGTGCCGGCTTAAGTATATGTTTCTTTTGACGGTGGTGTTTTTCCTCATACTAACTTAGCTTGTAAGGCAGGCTGCATAGGGAGAGTTGGCAGAGAGAGGTGGTGGATGAAAATACCTTTTTGTCGTCTGTTTTATTGAGGACAATGGGGTTAGTCCTGAATATATTACTTTATGAACTTTAAAAAGGATCCAAGGCCTTTTCACTGTGGGGAGTCATTGTTAAGACAGTGCTGTGATTTGAATTAGCATGGTTGTAGCTGCTGCAGTTCACTCTTTCTTTAAAAGTATACGTATCTGTAGCAGTTAACTTTACCTAGTATCTTCCTCATGTAATTCAAGAAGATAGTTTTTATGTAACTGTGAAAAATATACCTTATAAATAGCAGCACTCTAGCAAATGTAATTTTCTGTTTGATAAAAATTTTTTTTTAACCTTTTTTTTTTTTTCTTTAGACAGAGTCTCACTCTGTCACCCACGCTGGAATGCAGTGGTGTAGTCAAGACTCACTGCAGCCTCGACCTCCTGGGCTCAGGTGATCCTCCCACCTCAGCCTCCCAGGTAGCTTGGGCTACAGGCACACACCACCACACCCAACTAATTTTTGTATTTCATTTTTGGTAGAAATGGGGTTTTGTCTTGTTGACCAGAGCTCTTGAGCTCACATGGTCCACCCGTCTCAGCCTTCCAAAGTGCTGGGATTACAGGTGTGAGTCACTGCACCCGGCCTGATAAAATTAAAAAAAAAAAAAAATATATATATATATTTATTTAATTTTTATGTATTTTTTCATTATTTTAAAACATCTTTAAAAAGCATTTTTAATGCTTTTCAAAATATACTTTAAAATGGAAAGAATAGTATAATAAATACTTGTATTTCTCTTCACTTAGAGATTTACCAATATGGTACATTTGTTTTATCTTCCTACCTATATACTTTTTTGGTCATGGACCGAAAATTCTTAAGATGCATCTCCTAAGCATAAAGATATTTTTCTACATAACCACGTCATCATCATTGCACCTAAGGAGGAGATAAATCATACAATATATGGAATTTTGAACCACGGGAAAATAGAGTTTCTATTTTTGTCATTTCCAAAGTTTTTCTCTGAGGCAGAGTCTCACACTTACTGCCCAGGCTGGAGTGCAGCGGTGTGATCTTGACTCACAGCAACCTGTAATGTTAGGTTGTCAGTTTGTGATCTTTCAACCTTTTTGTTTAGTTTTTGTTGTTGTTTTTTTGAGACAGGGTCTCACTTTATTGCCCAGGCTGGAGTGCAGTGGTATGATCTTGGTTCACTGCAACCAGTGCCTCCCAGGTGCAATCAGTTCTCGTGTGTCAGCCTCCTCAGTAGCTGGGACTACAGGCACACACTACCATGCCCAGCTAATTTTTGTATTTTTAGTAGAGATGGGGTTTTACCATGTTGGCCACCAAGTCTCAAACTCCTGGCATCAAGTGATCTGCCTGCCTCGGCCTCCCAAAATGCTGAGATTACAGGCATGAGCCACTGTGTACAGCATCAAAGGTTTTAAATTATATATCTTATTAGTTAAAAAAATACTGAGCACACAGTCTTAACATATGTAATTTATACATTGTATACGGGTAATACTACTAATGTGCATTATGCAAAATTGCCAAGAAGGAATATTGAAAAAGAATGAGATGAAGAAATTAACAAAGGTGTTATATTCTTTAGTTACTCTGATGGATCATGACACACACCTACTTTGGAGACTACTGTTCTAGTTTGGCATTCTTGATATATACAGTGCAGATAGTGTGGTTAAGGTCTGAATGCACAGGCTGAAGATTGAGGGCTCCTTTCATTATTGTGAGTTTAAGTGATGGCTTCAGTGTTTAAATTTGAGTGAGGAGTGGTCAATTTGAGTGATTTAGAGTGATGAGTTATTATTTTCCCCAAGTGTTTATTCTTCTTGGGAAAAAGCATGTATTTGGAGAGCTTGGAGAAAGTACACATTTTTTTTTTTCGAGTAGCCACTGATCTAACAGGAAAGTGATGTATTTCTCAGAACTCTCTCCTGCCCAGCCCTGCATATGTCAAGTACTTTTTTCTTTCTGATTTCCCATTGTCACTGCATTCTTAGTCTTTTGGGTTCTGCTCGTTTTTTTCTTTCTTTCTTTTTTTCTTTTTGAGACGGAGTCTCACACTTCTGCGCAGGCTGGAGTGCAGTGGCGCGATCTCAGCTCACTGCGAGCTCTGCCTCCTGGGTTCATGCCATTTTCCTGCCTCAGCCTCCCGAGTAGCTGGGACTACAGGAGCCCGCCACCACGCCCGGCTAATTTTTTGTATTTTTAGTAGAGATGGGGTTTCACCGTGTTAGCCAGGATGGTCTCCATCTCCTGACCTTGTGATCCGCCCGCATCAGCCTCCCAAAGTACTGGGTTTACAGGCGTGAGCCACCACACCCGCTGGGTTCTGCTCATTTATTACTAGTTGGTGTTTTGTTTTCTCTTGAGGAAATATCCAGAGAAAAGAGCTGTTTGTTTAGGTATGTTCTATTTAATGTGCCAACTGGTGAAAATATTCCCCCATAAAAGCTGTGGTGAATTTGTGTAGATGTTTTGAGAACTCTTTGAATAGCCATAGTGTGGGAAATCAGCATATATGTAATTCACAATATGCTGTACCAGGGAATCAAGCCAACCCTTTTATTAGTAAAATTGAATTTTCAATTACAGATCTTGAAAAATTACATGTATTAGTAGGCTCCACAAATGTAAAATAATCAACGTATTTATTTTGAGCAACTTTCTTATTAGGAATAAGAATAGAACAATGTATAATAATAATTAGTGGGATGAAAGTTGAAATTTGAAAAATGTTCTTACCAAATTAAATCTTCAGTGTATAATTTTTTTGATTACACTAAAATATTGCCTACTGTATATTTGTGAAACAATTTATTCTTTAAAAAAAATTCCATGGTGGAACATGCCTGTAGTCCTAGCTACTCAAGAGGCTAAGACAGGAGGATCACTTGAGCCCAGAAGTTAGAGACTGCAGTGAGCCATGATCACACCACTGGTCTCTAGCACCTTGGGCAGCAGAATGAGACTGTGTCTAAAAGAAAAAGAAAAACAGCAGTGATATAAACTTATTAATATAAATGGCCTTATGATTTATAAGGCATTTTTATATGCATTTGTTTTATTTAATTACAATTGAAAATTGTTAACGATAATTTACATTTTACAAATAATGCACAGTGTAATGCAGGTTAAGTAGTTTGCCTGCAGTCACACAGCTGATAACTGGTGGAGTTGATTGGCAGCTTTGGTGGACTGATTGGTGTCTGAAAATTTTGTTTGTAATTTTACTAGATCATTGTTCGAATAGTTGTTCATAATCAAGATAATACTTGTCAAAAACCTCAAAATAGGCTGAGTACAGTGGCTCATGCCTGTATACCCAGCACTTTTGGAGGCCAAGGTAGGCAGATGACATGAGGCCAGGAGTTCAAGACCAGCCCAGCCAACATGGTGAAAACCCAGCTCTACTAAAAATACAAAAATCAGCCGGGCTTGGTGGTGTGCGCCTGTAGTCCCAGCTACTCAGGAGGTTGAGGCATGAGAATTGCTTGAACCTGGGAGGCAGAGGTTGTAGTGAGCTGAGATGGCGCCACTGCACTTCAGTCTGGGTGAAGGAGTGAGACTCTGTCTTTAAAAAAAAAAAAAAACCTCAAAATAATATTATTGTCTTGTCAGATTTGTACAACTTGAAATTACATGGTAATACAGAATGTTCATGAAATTTATTTTGTATGTTTGGCAGTGGTGAGTTTGAGATCCTGATACATAGATGATGTTCCTTAGATTGCTGAAAATACAGACCTTATGCTGAGGAGAGATGTTGGGGAGATGTTTATCTTTATCTACTAAAGATAAAGTTTTATGAAAAATGAAGTAGCTGAGATGTGGAATCATGAGGTTTAAGGTTAGAACTTAACTCACCAAGGGTCAGAATTAACCCACATTCACTCATTAGTTGAAATAATGCTTTTGCGTATTAGTCTTCTTATCTAGAGTCCATGTTTTGTCAGCAAATAATATCTTGCATTTAAATACTATTGATAGGTACATATTTGTTAATTGTGTCAGTCTTTATTATTACTGTTATGTTTTTCTAAATATTCTTTACTTTTTTTTATGTTGACTTTTAGCACGGCCACATGATTTCTTCGATGCACAAACACTGGATGCGATAAGACATCGAGCCATATGCTTTAACCTCTCAGCTCATATAGAAAGTTTAGGGAAGGGACACAGTGTTGTTTTTCATAGTACTGTAAGTATTCTTCTATTTTCTCAAATTAAATATAAAGCTTTGCAAATTATATTTCCACAGTCATTTCTAAATCTCTCAAAATCTAAGAAAATACAATTTAACAAAAATCACAAAACCTTTTGTTTTATCAGTATTTAAAGTATTGTATTATTGGTTATAAAGCACACATTTCCTATAATTTTACATATTTGTGATTAAACCGAATATGTTAGCCTTTAGTTTGAGCTACTTAGGAATAATGGGGTGACACATCATATAGTGCCACTAGGCATTACTGGACTCTGACATTAGGTAAACCAGGTGTCTTTTCTCACCTGGTTTCCTCATTTGCAAAATTAGAACATGAGACTCCTTTTACCTCTAAAAAGTTTCATTCACATTTCTGTGTACTGCATGGAGCCACCCCTTACCCCATGCACCCATCCAAAGTTTATGTTAAAGAGAAAATAAGATTATATTTGCTATCAGAGCTTCATGAGGGAAGGGATTTTAGTCTCTTTTGTTCCACTGATCTAGCCCAAGTGCCTAGAAGTTTGCCTGGCACATGATAGGCACTCAATATAGTTATTGAATGACTTATGTTGTCAACATAGAAGAAGAAAAGTACCAAATTTGAAGAAGAATAAATGCAGTTTATTTTTTGTTTTATTAGAAGTTGTAATAGAGAGTTGTTCTTTCTTCCATGCCTCTTTTCATTTTGTTTTTCAGTCATTTTTAAATTGGTGTAGTTTGGTGTAATTAAGTTAATAAATGTACATTGTAGATCATACTTTTGGTGATTTCAATCTCTGAAAAGTATGTGTTTAATTTTGGCTGACAAAATACAGGCTGGGCTTGGTGACTCACACCTGTAATCCCAGCATTTTGGGAGGCCTAGGCAGGCGGATCACCTGAGGCCAGGAGTTCGAGACCAGCCTGGCCAACATCGCAAAACCCTGTCTTTACTAAAAATACAAAAAATTACCCAGGTGTGGGTGGGCACCTGTAATCCCAGTTACTCGGAAGGCTGAGGCAGGAGAATTGCTTGAGCCCAGGAGGCGGAGGCCGCGGTGAGCCGAAATCACGCCACTGCACTCACAATCGGCCTGGGCAGCAAGAGCGAAACTCCGTCTCAAAACAAACAAACAAATACAACCAGGCTTGGTGGCTCACACCTATAATCCGAGTACTTTGGGAGGCTAAGGCAGGCAGTTTGCTTGAACCTAGGAATTCAGTACCAGCCTGGGTATTGGCAATTCCCTGTCTCTACAAAAATATGCAGAAAATTAGCCAGGCATAGTGGTGTGCACCTGTAGTCCCAGCTACCCGGGAGACTGAGGTGGGAGGATTGGCTGAGCCCGGGAGGTCAAGGGTGCAGTGAGCTGTGATCGCGGCACTGTACTGCAGCCTGGGCTACAAAGTGAGACCCTGTCTGAAAAAAAAAAATTATAAATACACTAAATTTGGGTTACTTTTATTTTTTATATTTCAATTGAAAAATGCATGAGAATTGAAATACAAAAGGTCCTTGTTGATATCAGTATGTTGTTTGGTTTGAATCTCTGTTTCCTTCATCTCCTATAATAAAGAGTTTTCTTTTTTTTTCATTTGTGTGTTGACAATTTTTTTTTTTTTTTTGCATTTTTATGTTTTCTTCTACATGCAGTCATCCCTCCGTATCCATAAGTTCTGCGACCATGGTTCCAACCAACCACGGATTGATAATATTTGCGGGGACAAGAACCACAATAAAAATCATACAAATTAAGAAGTACAATGTAACAACTATTTATATAGTATTGACTTAATTATATGGGACATTTTGCATAGATCATATGCAACACCATGTTATTTTTTATAAAAACCTTTTAGAGCATCCTTGGATTTCACTATTCAAGGCAGTTGGAGATGTCCTTGCTAACTTCCCAATTATATATAGCTTTCCTGTTATTTCTACCTACTTGTTTTTCTTTTGAGACAGAGTCTTGCTCTGTTGCCCAGGTTGGAGTACAGTGGCATGATCTAGGCTCACTGCAACCTCCACCCCCTAGGTTCAAGCGATCCCCCTCCGTCAGCCTCCCGAGTAGCCAGATTACAGGTGTATGCCACCACGCCCAGCTTCTTTTTGTATTTTTATTAGAGATGGGGTTTTGCCATGTTGGCCAGGCTGGTATTGAACTCCTGACCTCAAATGATCTGCCTGCCTTGGCCTCCCAAAGTGCTGGGATTACAGGCATGAGCCACCATGCTCGACCCATCTTGAGTTAATTTTTTATATGGTGAGAGCTCAGGTAGAGGTCCAGTTTCAATCTCTGGCATATGGTTAGCCAATTTCTCCAGTGCCATTTATTAGGGAGTCCTTTCCTCACTGTTTATTTGTGTCAACTTTTTTGAAGATCAGTTGGTTGTAGGTGTGCAGTTTTATTTCAGGGGCTTCTATCCTATTCCATTGGTCTGTTTGTCTATTCTTTTTTTTTTTTTTTTTTTTTGAGACAGAGTCTCGCTGTGTCGCCCAGGCTGGAGTGTAGTGGCACAATCTCGGCTCACTGCAACCTCTGCCTCCTGAATTCAAGCGATTCTTGTGCCTCAGCCTCCTGAGTAGCTGGAATTACAGGCGTGTACCACCACGCTTGGCTACTTTTGTATTTTTAGTAGAGACAGGGTTTCTCCATGTTGGTCAGGGTGGTCTCGAACTCCCAACCTCAGGTGATCTGCCCACTTCGGCCTCCCAAAGTGCTGGGATTAACAGGCACGAGCCACCACGCCTGGCTGTTTGTCTGTTTTTGTACCAGTATTACACTGTTTTGGTTACTGTAGCCTTATAGTGTAGTTTGAAGGCTGATAAAGTGGTGTCTCTGGCTTTGTTCTTTTTGCTTAGAATTGCCTTGGCTCTTTGGGCTCCTTTTCATTCCATGTGAATTTTAGGATACTTTTTTCTAATTCCATTAAAAAATATTGGTAGCTTGATAGGAATAGCATTGAATCTGTAAATTCCTTTGTGCGTTGTCACCATTTTAATGATACTGATTCTTCCAGTCTGTGAGCATGGAATGTTTTTCTATTTTGTGTCATCTATGATTTCTTTTAGCAGCCTTTTGTAGTTCTTCTTGTAGAGATTGTTTACCTCCTTGGTTAGATGTATTCCTTGGGGGGTGTGTGTGTGTTATGGTAAATGGGATTGCATTCTCGATTTGGTTGTCAGCTTGAGTGTTATTGGTGTATAGAAATGCTACTGATTTTTGTACGGTGATTTTTTTTTTTTGTATCCTGAGACTTTGCCAAAGTTATCAGGTTTATGAGCTTTTTGGAGAAATCTTCAGGTTTTTCTAGGTGTAGAATTATATTGTCAGTGAAGAAAGTAAATTTGATTTTCTCTTTTCCTATTTGGATGCCTTTTATTGATCTTACTTGATTGATTGCTCTGGCTAGGACTTCCAGTACTATATTGAATAGGAATGGTGAGAGGGGACATCCTTGGGTTTTTTTTTTTTTTTAAAACATTTATTTTTATAGAGACAGGATCTTGCTGTGTTGCCCAGGCTGGTCTTGAACTCTTTGCTTCAAGCGGTCCTCCTGTCCTAGCCTCCCGAAATGTCAAGATTACAGGTGTGAGCCACCATGCCCTGCTAATAAATATCCTTTGTCTTTCTTCCCCTTTCCAAGACAGGGTCTTACTCTGTCACCCAGGCTGGAGTGCAGTGGCACAAATATGGCTCACTGTAGCCTCAATCTCCTGTGTTCAAGAGAGCCTCTCACCTCAGTCTTCTGAGTAGCTGGGACCACAGGCATGAGCTACCACACCTGGCTAATTTTTTTTATTTTTGGTAGAGGCAGGGTCTCACCACGTTGCCCAGGCTAACCTTGTCTTGTTTATGGACTAAATTTAAATGGAGGCATGCTTGACATAATGTAGGTTATTAAATGTATCTTGTAAATTAATTTATGTTTTTAGTTACCACATAACCAGTGTTGTCCCCTAACTTGAATTTTTCAGATAATGAAACTAGGGACTAAAAAGGTTGTATTACCTTTCCTAGTGTGATCTAGTATAGTTGCGTATTGTTGTTTGTTTGAGACGGAGTCTCGCTCTGTCGCCCAAGCTGGAGTGCAGTGGTGCGATCTCGGCTCACTGCAAGCTCCGCCTCCCGGGTTCATGCCATTCTCCTGCCTCAGTCTCCCAAGTAGCTGGGAATACAGGTGCCCATCACCATGCCCAGCTAAATTTTTTTGTATTTTTTTTTTTTAGTAGAGACAGGATTTCACCGTGTTAGCCAGGATGGTCTCGATCTCCTGACCTCGTGATCCGCCCGCCCCGGTCTCCCAAAGTGCTGGGATTACAAGCGTGAGCCACTGTGCCCGACCAGTTGTATATTGTTAATACATAGGGTTTATGGACCTTTACCCCCACGCCATTCTTGGATTCTAGGATGAGAACTCTTGTGGTATTTAGATTGATATGTGTGATACTACAGGGAAGATAGGTCCTGCTTGATGCTTGCATGGGAGCCTTGTTAGGAGCTCACCCTTTTGTTCCTCCTGTGTTGTCAATTTATTGACAGCAAATATACCAATTAAATGGACACTATTAAATAACTTTAAAAAAAAGGCAAGATAGAAAATGGAGCAATAGGTATCAGTACAACAAGTTTTAGAATATTTAAGAGTAGAATTGTATATTTTGGAAATTAGATAAGGATATAAAGGAGAGAGTGATGCAACAAAATTTGGAGTGAAAGGCAAGAAAGTGGAAAATTAAATGCAAAGGAAAGGAAACTTAAGAGATTGGGAGACACGAGAGACATGAATTTGAGGAAAGGTATCGTTATTCTCTTTTAGAGAACATAGGAAATACATTTATCTAAACAAGGATGAAAGAGTTGAGGGGGGGAAATACAGGATTTGGAGACCAGAAACAGTTATTATGGCTGCTCTGGGGATTTTGTGGGGATTCAGCAAGGTTAGGGCCTTGCTCAGCGAGGCTGGTTGAAATCCTCCTTTGAAATTCGGGAACATAGTTTTAT